AATGTAGTAGAATTGGGATGATGGCTATGGGACCAAGCAAGGAGTGAGTAAGAGAACAGGGAGGAACAGTGTTAAGATAACTTTCCTTTATATTCCATTATCTTTTTTTTCCCTTCTCTTTCTGGCTTATAGTTTAATTCTTTTTCTTCTTGAATCTGATCTTATATAGCACTTTATCATTTAATGGACATTCACATACTGCTAATAATTAGCAGAGCCATGTTTTCGGACTTCAAATGCAGTATTCTTTTGGCCACAGTTGTTTCTATTGTCCCAATATTCATTAAGACATTACAGATTCTATTGCAAGATAATAATAGTGGGCCCTGTGAGACTTGATTACAGGTGTGATTTTTATCAGTATAGGAGAGAGTAAGAAATACTTATTTGTTTTTAACATCTTTATTGGAGTATAATTGCTTTACAATGTTGTGTTAGTTTCTGCTGTATAACAAAGTGAATCAGCCATATGTATACATATATCCCCATATCCCCTCCATCTTGCGTCTCCCTCCCACCCTCCCTATCCCACTGCTTTAGGTGGTCACAAAGCACCGAGCTGATCTCCCTGTGTGATGCAGCTGCTTCCCACTAGCTATCTGTTTTACATTTGGGGGTGTATATATGTCAGTGCTACTCTCCCACTTTGTCCCAGCTTACCCTTCCCCCTCCCCGTGGCTTCAAGTCCATTCTCTATGTCTGTGTCTTTATTCCTGTCCTGCCTCTAGGTTCTTCAGAACCATTTTTTCTTAGATTCTATATATATGTGTTAGCATACGGTATTTGTTTTTCTCTTTCTGACTTACTTCACTCTGTATGACAGACTCTAGGTCCATCCACCTCACTACAAATAACTCAATTTCGTTTCTTTTTATGGCTGAGTAATATTCCATTGTATATATGTGCCACATCTTCTTTATACATTCATCTGTTGATGGACACTTAGGTTACTTCCATGTCCTGGCTATTGTAAATAGTGCTGCAGTGAACACTGTGGTACATGACTCTTTGAATTATGGTTTTCTCAGGGTATATGCTCAGTAGTGGGATTGCTGGGGCATATGGTAGTTCTGTTTTTAGTTTTTTAAAGGAAGTTCCATACTGTTCTCCATAGTGGCTGTACCAAT